GTGCGCTTTGTGTAAGCAGACCAGTCGTTTGGCGGGGGAAAGACTCGACAGAGCGGTGTGCAGACGCACTTAAGCCGGGCCCTAACATTAATGACTTCCGTAATACCTTTAATCTGATTTTTTCAGCCCCCAGTACTTGACGATACCGTCAAAAGGTTTGCATGAAGTAAGTAAACAGACAATTTCACATACACCGTTCTTTTAGTTTTACCAAACAATCAGGCGCGGAATTCGTGCTTCTTCGCATGACGCATCCCCACGCAGTCTATTCACTAGAGGCCAAAAATACATGCATGGCATAAAATTTAGGAAGAGGTGCCAAAAAGTTACAATACATGACCAACCTCCAAGAGAACGCCGGCCGCGCTTTAATTTGCTTTCATTGGGAAGGTCGTTTAACTTGACGTCGAACATGACAATTCCCAGTTGGCGTGTGAGCAGCCTGACCGCTTTCTGCAACAAATGCCAAAGAGGGAGGAATTGCAGAATCTCTGTGTGTGATATTCCTGATTATTTCATCTTCCGTAAAGTTTACACATCGTCGGTATTCAAACAAAAGCATAGACTAGGTACGAAATAAATTTAATGAGCTTACCGACCACTCCTCGATAAGGGCCGGGAAACGTGTAATCTGGGAGTAGATCTCGAGACACTTATCCCAGGGTTCGTTGGAGATGGGAGCCGACAGGGTGGCGTAGATGAGGGAGGTGTTGAAAGTCTAAGCAATCGAAAAGCAAGAAGTTGACAAATTTGTAAAGTAAGGGTGGAATTATTGGCAAAGTTTCAAACGGCAAGAGAGGCTGATAAAATAATTTTCTTTACATTGTTACGCCTGTTCAGCGTGCAAAGACAGAGTGGTGGCATGGGTAAATCCAGAAAGTAAATCAACCGAGGAGAAATATTATGACATATTTAATAGAGTTGAAACTTATAGTTCTACTCAAGCTAACAGTTACTTCAATTACATAAACGACCGGAGTGACGAATGAAAAGAGCATTCTTAACACCAAACGACTCAATTGACAACAGACTCCGAGAAAGATGGTAAGGACATGTAGTTACTTCAGGTAGTATGCAGGTTAAACTAAACAAAATCTGATTTAATTAAAGGAATGAAGGGAAAGGGTCACCAACCCACATCAGAAAAACAACATACTCAGCGACAATTCGAGCAACGCACCTGAAAGAATTTCGCCAGTAGCTTCTCATTTGACATCCAATGAAGGTCGAAGTGGTCCGTCTGACTTATTGTGTTCATGACCTCTGAGATAATTTGCAGCATGGTCAGGAGTAATTTTTCCCTGGAATTCAGTAAAGAAAAAATAGATTAGACACATTTCTAGACAGTCACACGAACCACCCACAAAATCGTCGAGTCAGGTTCCTACTTGTGGATAAAGGGTGGTGATAGGGGTCGTACGGAAAGAGGCCAGGAGAAATAAATACCGATTAAAAGCGCGCAATAAATAATCCTTTTTAGTTTTTTTTTATTTCCTGAATATACAGTAGCCGCCGAAGACCATGCAACGCTAATTATGAAATTTGCCT